GGATGTCCAGTGTGGATGGACCCTGACCGCGGGTCAGCACCACAACCACACAGCATAGGACCCAGCTGGGAACCCCCCTCTGCCCACCCCTCCCGGCCTCCTGCCGTGTGTGTGGGGGGAGGCAAACCCCACCTCTGCAGAGCCGCACTTCCTCCCTGGTGAAGTGGAATCTGCTGGGAGGGCTGTGGCCTGGGTCCGGCTCCCTCTGCACCTGCTGTGTGATCTGTGGCTGCTGACGTCTGTTTCTGTAATGAATGAACTGCCATCTCAGATGGTGACTGCAGCACCTCATTAGAATACAATGTGAAAGGTGAGCTGGCGTCATGCTATTTGAAATTCTCCATGTTAAAGGGAATCAATGCAGGTCATTTGGTGAAATCTCGCATCCCTTGGAGGTGATTCCGAATGCTTGTAAAAACAAGAGCCACGATGCTTTTCATCTGTTTATTTCAGTTTCATGCGCAAACAGAATTCCCACAGTCTGATTCACTCTCCAGATGCCACAGCGGGGAGGCAGAAGCCAGCATGCAGTCCCTCCCAGGGCCTGCATTAACCCGGAAGCTGTGTCAGGACCCAGACCCTGCACAGAGCCGGTGGGTGCCTTGAACACTAGGCCCAAAGCCCAGCCCCTGGACACAGGTTAGCAAGCAGTTCCTAGGGTCCAAGTTAGAGCAGTGGTGGAGACCATCCCTTCATCCACTCCCTCACCTGAGCGCCCAAGCTGTCGGCCCGCGATCCCAGGCACTGCCAACGCAGCTGCCAGAGCCCCCCACTCACAGGTTAACTCCCAACCCGGCCCCCCGGAAAGATCCGCCAGCACCCTTAAACTACCTGTGCTAAGCTGAGGCTCTGGCTTGGGTGGCAGCGCCACCTAGTGAAGGTTTTGGAGATGTCCACAGATTTTTTTTTCTCCTGGCCATTTCAGGGATTGGGGGACTCACCTGGGCATGGACCCCAGGCATCCTGCCGTGGCATTTAGATCATCAGGGTGGGCAGATGAAAGCGGCCCCTCTAGAGAGTTCAGGCAGGCAGCCATGTCAGCAAAAAGTCTGTTTATAGTTACCCGAGCCTGGAAACCAACTTGGTTCTGTAATGAAGCACAACATATTTTGTATATAAACCTCCAAAGCTGTGTTCAGTGAGGGGAAGGTTACAATTTGCAGTGTTTTGGGATACAACAGTAGCTGTTTTAGGAAATCTGTGAGAGGAATTTGAGTCAGTGTCTCCCAGATGTCCTCCACGTCTCTGTCACCGGATCCTTTGCGAGGACTGCAGGGGCAGGCACACGGCTGTCTTGACAGTCTGTAATACGCAGCAGTCCCGCCCGTGTCAGCTCCCTTTGCCTGCTCATGGGAGTTAGTCCTTCTCGTGTGAGTGCGTTCCTTCTCTCAAATGTATGTTATTCGTCTGAAAGCCAGAGTGAAAGCGAGAGTGATGGAGACAGAACTCTTCTACCTGCTGGTTTATTTCCCATCTGGCCAGAGTGCCTGGTGCTGGGCCTGGAACCTGGAGCATCACCCAAGTCTCTGAGTTCTTGGGCCATCTTCCGTGGCCTTCCAGGCACGTTGGCAGGGAGCTGCTGGGTCACAGAAGAGGAGCACCTGTGACCCCCAACAGCACTCCAATATGGGACGTCTCTGTCACAGGCAGCAGCTTAAGCCACTGCACCACAACATGGGCCTCTTCATGTCTTTCTGAAGTACGCAGTTAGGGAGGTAGTTTAAAACAATTTAAAAATGTGTATTCTTTATTTGAACTACAGGAAGACGGAGATCTGCCATCCAATGGTTCATTCCCCACATAGCCACAATGACCAGGGTTGCACCGGGCCAAAGCAGGAGCCCGGAACTCTATTAGGGTCTCCCATGTGGGTGCAGGGGACCAAGCACGTGGGCTGTCTTCTGTTGCTTCCCCAGGTGCATTAGCAGGGAGCTGGATCAGAAGTGGAACAATAGACGAGAACCATATGAGAATTGGGACACCCCACGATTAACCATGAATTCGTGAGTGATGCCGTGACAGGTGTGTGTCCTGTGGAAAGTTCCCGTTGAGGTATTTTAGGCCCAGAAGGTAAGTAGAAAGTTGTCAGTATTTAAACCCTGAGACAGAAGTAGGCTTGGGGCAGCATGGCAGCAGCCGCGGCTTGCGGTGCTGGGACAGGCTGCAGGGAAACAGCAGTGTTGGGCTGTTGGCTCTCTTGGGATTGTAGGTGACCATTCGTGTGTGCGTGTGTGTGTGTGCACGCACACACACGCCTGCTTTTCCCAGGGAGAAAGTCCAGGATCTTATCAGAGCCTCCCAGTACCTGACAACTCACAGGGCTGAGACAGGAGTCAGCCGAGGCCAGGGCGTGGGGAGGAGGTGGCTGGAGAGCTCGGACAGGCCTGGAAGGCTGGCGGTATGCTCAGAGGCCAGCGTGCCCCATCAAGGGATGTGGACTTGGCTCTCCAGGGCAATGGGTACTTATCGCTAGGTGTGTCTCTGCTTTACTCACAGCCCGTGTCCCATAGTCCTCAGAGCTCTGGGCTGTCACCTGAGTTCCTGGGTCCACGAAGACCTGCCTTCCCACCGACACCTGGAGGCTCCCCCCAGGCCTGCAGGGGCTCGAGGCGTGATTCTCAGCTTGCCCAGCAGATGTCCGCTGTGCTGTCTCAGGAGCTTCGTGCTGCTACATGCTGCTCCAACGTCTGTGACTCATTTCAAAGGTGAGTTGGACGATGCAAGCAGACGTCAACGGAACAGTTCATAGGGAGCAAATGTGATGAAAAGATGCGCAGCAAAGTCTCGCAATGCACGCCTGCAGGCTTCACAGAACATGCGAGTTCCAGGAACTTTCTTTGTCAATCCCACATAGGGAACCCTTCACACAGGGGTTATCTGCCTTTTGCAGAGGCCACACTCATCTCTGTGGCATTCCCATTTCAATATATGTGCTGCCAAGCAAGCACTGGCAAACACCTTTTTTTAAAAAAAAATTTATTTATTTTAAAAATAGATTTTATTTTTATTGAAAAGTAAGACATGCAGAGAGGAAGATCTTCTGTCCAATGATTTACTCCCCAAGTAGCTGTGATGTCTGGAGCTGAGCCAATCCGAAGCCAGGAGCCAGGAGCCTCTTCTAAGCCTCGCACGTGGATTCAGGATCCCAAGGCTTTGGGCCATCCTCCACTGCTTTCCCAGGCCACAGGCAGGGGGTTGGAAGGGAAGCGGGGCCGCAGAAATGCAAACCGGTACCCATAATGGATCCCAGCATGTGCAAGGGGAGGACTTCAGCGCTATGCTACTGTGCTGGGCCTTGGGAATCACTACATAACAATCTATGGGCATTTCCCCAGAGTGGAGCAGGCAGACAGGAGGAGGCTTGTATCCCAACCCTGGAGACCCCCAGATCCTCACCAAGGACTATCAGTATGGGCACCAAGGACTATATCCCAACTGCATGTATTATGAAAACTGTATATTTCAAACATATTTTGCAGGCCCAGTGTGATGGCTCAGTGGCTAATCCTCACATTGCTACCACCAGGATTCCATGGCCTACTGGCTAAATCCTCACCTTGCATATGCTGGGATTCCATATGGGTGCTGGTTTGTGTCCCAGGTGCTCTACTTCCCATCTAACTCTGCCTATGGCCTGGAAAAGCAGTCGAGGACAGCTCAAGGCCTTGGGACCCTGCACCTGCTGGGAGACCCAGAAGTTGTTCCTGGCTCCTGGTGTTGGACTGGCTCAGGTCTGGCCATTGCGGCCACGTGGGGAGTGAACCAGTGGATGGAAGATATTTCTCTATGGCTTTTCTTCTCTGTAAATGTTCCTTTTAAAAAAACAAATCTAAAAAAAAAAATAACAGAAACAGGTCGCTAAAAGGCATCTGATTCCTAACCAGTGTCTATGGAAGTGTCCAAGGAAGGAGCCAGTGGGGGAGTGGGGGCACATGCATGACAAGGACGGGAAGCAGCAGTCACACACACACACACACACACACACACACACACACACACATATACCAATTAATTCAGAAAGCACAGAGCTGAGCTGATTAATTACTGTCTGTTTTAGAAGTTCACACTTGAAAGAAACAAGGGGAAGATTTAATAGTGGAATTCTTGGGTAATAACTTAGACAGTCAAAGGCTTGTAGTGATGCAATCCACTGTGCACACCCTCCCCGGGTCAGGCAGCTGGCTGTCCCGGGGGTTCCTGTCTAGAGGGAGACAAGCTGTGGCTGAGACAACGGGGCTGCCGTCATTTGCCGGTTGGCTGGTCGTGGTGCATTTCCGGCGTGTATGTCAGGAGGACAATCATGACCCAGAGGTGAAGCAAAGCCTAAGGAAAGGAGAGAGAAATGTGCGGCTTAGCCAGCAGGGCCGGTACACCACGGGCAAGGCCAGCCTGTGCACCCTCTGAGGGCCGCACGGGTCTCTGCACGGTCGCTGGGTGACCCACCAAGGAACGAAACGGAACGCTCGAGGAAGGCAAGTGTTCTCTGTCTAGAGTGCTGCGGGAGAGGCGGGCCCGGACCTGCCTGCACTCACACACACGTGTGGGGGCATGAAGGACCTACGAGGGGCTATAATGAAGAGTAGAGAGCTTGGTTAAAAGTGCTAGGTTTACAAGAAACCGGTAGGAAAGGCATTTACAACAGCTCTGAGGGCTGGCGCTGTGGTGTAGTAGCTTAGACTCTGCCTGCAGAGCCAGCATCCCATATGAGCCCTGGTTCACGTCCTGGCTGCTCCACCTGTGATCCAGGCCCCTGCTAATACGCCTGGGAAAGCAGCAGAGCATGGCCCCAGTGTGTTGGGTCCCAGAAGTCCCTGACTTCTGCCTTTGGGCTGCTCCAGTTCCAGTTGTTGAGACCATCTGGGGAGTGAACCAGCAGGAAGATCTTTCTCTGTTTCTCCTTCTCTTTCTGTAAATCTGCCTTTTAAATAAAAATAATTAAAAAAAAAAAAGAAAGAGAGAATAGTTCTGATTGGTGTTTTTTTGCTTGTTTGTTTTTTTTTTATGGCACGAGGATCAATGATGACCAGCTGCCCAGAAATGAAAAAATGATGCTTCCGAAATTTCGTGGTGTTGATTCCGCACCAAGAGCAGACAGAGCCACTTACGTGTGCGCGTATGACAGAGGCCCTTTTTGCGACTGGTGTTTCCAAAACCTTTAGCCAAGATTTGGGGAAGGGGAGCTGGGAAGTGGGGTGTCGGAGGATGACTGGGCCCCACAGGTGCCCCACGGTGCTCTCATGGCAACACTCCACGTCTCCCACCGACAGAAGGAGTCCCCCACACCTGGCCCCTCGGCGGGGGGGAAATACTCTGAATCTTGACAGTCACTCCCTCTTTTTTATATATATTGATTTGTATCTGAAAGGCAGACTTACAGAGAGAAGGAGAGACAGAGACACTCCATCTCCTGGGTCACTTCCCAAATGGCCAAAGAGCCAGAGCTCAACCAAGCCTCCTCCAGGTCTCTCACATGGGTGCAGGGGCCCAAGGACTTGAGCCACTTGCCACTACCTTCCCAGGCACATTAGCAAAGAGCTGGATAGAAGCAGAGCAGTCGGGACATGAACTGGTGCCCATATGGGATACCAGAGCTACAGGTGGAAGACTAACCAACTGAGCCATCACGCCAGTCCCAGACACTCCCTTCTATCTGAAGGGATAACTCTTCCCTCTAGTGGATGATGAGGGTACTTCTTGTTCAGAAGGTTCTTTTCAAGAAAACAGCCCAGGGACTGTGGCACTTTGACATTTGCCTAATTCTACACCTCCAAGTGCTGGGATCCCATATGGATCTCAGCTTGGACACGAGTTTGTGTCCCAGTTGCTCCACTGCCCTGCCCATCCAGCTCCCTGCTTGTGGCCTGGGAAAGCAGCAGAGGATGGCCCAAAGCCTTGGGACCCTGCACCCACATGGGAGACCTGGAAGGAACTCCTGGCTCCTGGTTGCAGATTGGCCTGCACTTTCCTCTCTTTCTACTCTAGACACGAACAACTGTTATCTACTTTCAGAATTCTTGCACATCAACAGTGAGTCCTTTACTCCCCTTCCAAATGGACTGCCGGCTCTTGCTCAGGCCACAGCTGAGCTGAGCGGGTGCAGAGCTGGGCACGCAGGCACTTACCATGTAGATGATGACGAACACGCGGGCAGTGGGGTACCTCCGCAGGAAGATGCCCAGGCGGATGCTGCGCAGGTGGCCGGGGGGAGAGAAGAGAGTCAGAGGCCACACAGCCTCCCCACGGGCCTCGACGCTAGCTCCTCCCCCCACTCAACATTCAGAGGAGCTCTGGCAAAGTGTGCTTTTTCTAGAACGCTGTCAAGTGCTACCTTGAAACAACCATGTGGAAATGTTGGAGGGATTGGCAAAGCCCTTCCTCGTGGCTGGAGAAACACGGGGCGGCTCTGGGCAGCGAGAGGGGAAGCGGGTGCACGTCCTGACCTCACGGCCACGCCTCCTGGTGACATGTCTCTTCCCACGAGGACACGCACCTTCTGCTGCTTTCACGGCCGCTGACAAGGGCCTGCCTCACACGTGGGCTCTCCAGCGACAAACTGGGCCGTGTGGTGAGCACGACTGCCCGACACGCAGAGCACGCAGGGGCTTGTGCAACTGGGATCGGGAACTTCAGGGGTCTCAATGCCTCAGCCTCCAGCTGCTGAACGCCTCAGTTCTGATGCTCAGCGGTAAGAAAAGATTCCTGCTCCGTGCTAGTTCATTACAACCTTGCTGAATTACAAACCCCAGGAGGAAGAGGGGTACAGCAGGTTGTTTAAACATGGACTTTATCAAGGGTACATGTAAACTGTTCAAATACTTTCATGATAAGGAAAATTCCTGCTAACTTGAAATGAATTATATAAACGTACACAATGATTACACTATTTATGATTTGTGTGGTATCTATAAAAGATACAGTAGAGCCTGGCACAGTGGCCTAGTGGCTAGAATTCTCGCCTTGAACGCACTGGGATCCCATATGGGCACCAGTTCTAATCCCGGCAGCTCCACTTCACATCCAGCTCTCTGCTTGTAGCCTGGGAAATCAGTCGAGGACTGCCCAAAGCCTTGGGACCCTGCACCTACGTGGGAGACCCAGAAGAGCTTCTGTCAGAGCAAAGGCATGTTCCTGAGCTGAGCCAGGCGAGGGTTCGAACCCTGGCTCTGCCCCTGCCCGACCTGGGGTAAGGAACCATCCACAACTATCGAATGAGGACCCAGGTGCTCCCTCACAGGGTTACTGCAAGGAATACACTTCATCATTCGAAAGATAGAGCAGGTAGGAACAAGTTTAGCATCTACCTAATTTTCTGTTCATAGGACTAAATGCATAGGCACTCGAGAGATTCACAGATTTAGAAAATGCTACTTCAGGGGCTTGTGTTGTGACACGGTGGGCTGAGCCGTCACTTGCCATGCTGGCATCCCATGTGGATGTGCTAGCTGGAGTCCCAGCTGCTGTGCTTCCAATCTCTTTCCTCCTGCTAGTGGGGAAGCAGCAGCAGAAGGTCCGAGAGCTTGGGCCCCTGCTGCCCACGTGGGAGGCCAGGATGCAGCTCCCCACTGCTGGCATCAGCCGAGCCCATCCTGGCTGCTGTGACCATCTGGAGAATGAATCAGGGGATGGAAGCTCCCCCTGCCCTTTTTCTTTGATACCCAGCCATATAAATAAATAATTAAAAATTACTAATAACTGAAACTAAAAAATAAGAAAAAAACAACCCAGGGATAAGAGGAGCTATGGTTTGCTGAGGTGCCAACCTACGTCAGGAACAAGGTGAGCCCGTCACTCAGCAGCCAAGAGGGATGGAGAGCCTGTGCTCACCGCACCGTACGGACAGGACCACTCAGGCTCCGGTGAGGGGGAAGTTGCCCTGGGTGGGCAGCATCTCCCTAGCATGTCCCAAAGGCAGGCTCCGTGCCCAGGTCTGTCTGCTAGCAACAGCAGGTAGGCAGAGCTGCCCACTGTGCTGGGTTCTCTCAGCTCTGGTCCCAGCACCTCAAGAATAGTGGGGTGCTCAAGGGGCACCTTCTTCAATGAAGCAACACTCTGTTGTGGGTGACACAACAGTAAGAGCAGACATGGTGTGATAAAAGCTGGGAGTGGGGGGCTAAAGGGACACAGTGAACAATGGCTGTGGGGGTGGGGTGGACATTTGGTGCAGCCGGTTAAGCCACTGCTAGGGACACCAGGCATCCCACAAGAGTGCAGGTTTGAGTCCTGGCTGCTCTGCTTCCAATCCTGCTCCCCATCAAAGTGTGTGGGAAAGCAGATGATGGCCCACGTGCGTGGGCTCCTGCCACCCGAGTGGACACCTCCATGGTGTGCCCAGCTCCCAGCTTCAGCTGGCTACATCATTTGGGGACTGAACCAGCGGGTGGAAGATCTGTCCCTCTTTCTCTCTGTGTCACTCTGCCTTTCAATTAAATCTTTGAAAAAAAAGAAAAAGGAAAAAAACCATTTTGGGGTTTCAAGCTTAATTCACAAAAACATAAAATTCACTCTTTTATAGTTTAACATTATAGTAAATACACAGTTACATGCACACCATCAGCCGCTAGGCCACCGCGCCGGGCCCTGGTAAATACTTTTGTCATCTGCTAGTCAATCTTAAGTGAAAAGCCATGTTTTAAATTCTTGGGAGGAGTGAATTAATTGTTGATGATTTTTGATTAAAAACTGAATCTTCAGTTGGAGGGGTCTGAAGACACTTTCCACAGTGAGTCGTTTATTTTATCTGTGCCCTAATGAAATTAGAAATCTATCCTTAATTAAGAAAAATCAGATTGGATCAACTAATCATTTTAGCACTGTAAATATTTTTTTCATATTCAAAAATTTTTGTTCATTCTAGTTCCTGTTTAACTAGTGTCATTGGCTGAAGGAATGAACTGGCTTTGCATTTTTAAAGTTAGTCTGATATGTAATAAAAAAAGACAATTTTCTACTTTAATGGAAAAAGTTTGGTTCTTCAAATTTTTCCTAAGTTGAAAAATTCTGTTCTTATTCAGAAATGGTTTGGCATTTGAGAGTTAATGCAAATAACTTCTAATCTCATGTTTACTAATTGGCATGTTTAATCATGTACCAATTAATATTTTAAGATGGGGTTCCTAGACAAACAGCAGGAAGCCTGTCCAGGCAGGAATTCCTGATTTATGGAGGAGGTCCCTGGTGTAATTCAAAGGTAAATGATGCCTTTTTTTAAAAAAGAGGAAAATACACATTTGAAATGTGATTGTTAATTTCCACAGCACTGGGCTACTAGGAATACCTGTTTATTTGTTGGTTTTTGTTTTTTTTTTTTTTTACTATCATGTATAAATATTTGAAGTATGAAAACTCTCCCAGCCAGTGGGTCACTCCCCACGTGGCCCCAACAACCAGAGCTGAGCCAGGAGTTGGGAGCCTCTTTGTGGTCTCCCACGTGGGTGCAGGGTCCCAAGGCTTTGGGCCAACCTCTACTGCTTTCCCAGGCCACAAGCAGGGAGCTGGATGCTAACATACACTGGCTTGACCATGAGAGATGGGCTTTTGGTAAACAGGGGTAAGCTCCTCCCAGTTGGGGACCACTGTCCTCATAATATGACAGGTCACAAGCTTGCCCTCTGAAATGAGCCTCTTGAGAAAAAGATTACTCGTTTCAGAGATTAGATAAGGAACAAAGGCTTGGGCTGAGAGATGATGTATGCACAGCCATCCAAGGTGAATGGACCTGGTGGCTTCAGAGTAATATGGCAGGTGTTCCTCTGGACCGCTCTGCAGATTTCAGAAGCGAGGATGCCTTGCCCATAAAAAACACGCAAAGCATGTAACAAACACTTCCAGAACAGGGTGCGAATTTCTTTTAAAAGGCATCCACCCTGCAGAGAGGGCAGTTACGGTCTGTGTCTCTATGATCCCCGCCACTTGGAGAGCGAGTGTCACGGCGGCCGGCGTCGAGTTGGCAATAGTGTCCCGCGGAACTGGGCAAAGTCATTAAAGCCAGGGCAGAAGGACGTGTGCCTGCTCGGACGGTGGGACGTCTTGGGAAGGAGCAGAAGCAGCTCGCGGTGACGCCGTCACGAGGGACTGGGTCACGGGGCAGTTGGTGGGCCCCCCTCGCGCCGGCGTTGCTTAGGAACTCCACATTA